TCCCGCACAGAAACATTCACTACATTCCACTCACCGTTTCCCTGAAATTCTGTTTATCACCGTGTAAGATAGAATAAGGCTGTGAACATGGAAAATGGGTTAAATCGACAAACACTGGGCTCCATTCCAGGGGTTGCGCCCTGCGCTTGAGCTCTGTCCAAGATCCTACTGGAGTTTGAATGCAGTGTTGTAATTTCTCTTGTAGCGTTAGGAGATGCGCACAAAAAATTTACTTGAGTATATATTTATTTATTTATATTTATTTATTTATTTATTTGTATCGCAAAATCAGGAATGATAAGGACAGCAAAAGAATCTGACAGGGCCTCCCCTTGGATGAAATTTTAAAGAGCGTGGGTGATACTTTCCTTTGTAATTAATCTACTCCAACCCTTTCAGGAGTGCATCTTGGACTTGGAAAGTAAAAAAGGGTCAACCTAATAAGGGTCGATTTTTGAAATTAGATTTGTGCAAAGAATCAGAAAATACCCAAGTCTTGACATCCATTTTATCAACTATACGATTCTCAACAAAGATTTCATCCATGCCAGCACTGTTGCTATAAATCCAGAACATGCAGGTTTGAGTGTCGAAAGGGAACTTTTCCAACTGAAAGTATAAGTTCAACTGATTATTACAAACACAGGCGTGAAGAAACGAATATACCTTAAGTGTACAAGGCTGCCTTACAACGAGATTCCAAAAAGTCGACACCAAGCCAAAGTAAGTGATCTTAATGAAGAAGATTTGTAGAGTGGTAAAGGGCGGCCGCTAAGATGGCCTTTTGATAAGCTTTCTTGCCATAACTTACATAAACATATTGAGTTTCTTCCGGTAGGCTTTCTTCTGTCTTTTCACTGAAAACGTCTCGAAAAAGGGGAGGAACAACAGAACATGGTTGACCTGTTACTTACCTATTTCTAATAGTAAAATCAGGTACCCAAACTTGACTTCTTCTCACGTATATGTAGGAAATGTCCGAATAGTTTGACGGTTCCCATGTCAAGCGAATGTCTAACCATTCCTGAAAATTCCCTCGAAAACCTACTATGGAACTCAGCGTAATCACTGGGAAATATGAAGGTTACGAAGAAAAACCTGCGAAAATAAAAGATAGAAGGGAGACCTAGAGAGGTAAGTATATTCTCCACTCTTCCTATTATTCTGGTAATATTATTATTAGTATTGGCTTATCGAAATTCAATCTCTGAGAGAAGAAACTTACAGCACTGAATTCAAGCTGCACATAAACAGACTGAGATACTTGATCCTAAAGTTGACTTTTTAAAAAATTACTTGCATGTATAAATATATTAAGCACACAAACCAGCTGCAGGAAACTCCCATTGATGAGTTCGAGAGACACTTTAAGGTTCGACATGTTTCCATTGGCTTCAAGGTATTCACGAGCAGCTATGGATATATTGTCTGAAATGAATGAAAGGAATTTCCCATAACCAGTTGCTAAGAAGTACGTAGGCCTAGACTTGGAATGAGTCTTATTTTCTAATTTTTTCTCTTCCTCAGACCCACAAATCCGCTTTTCTACTCTTCTGTGATCCACTGTTTGACTGCAGACGAAATCTGCTTTTTTATATTTTATAATAAAGGCCGGGATTCTCTGCCTCAGATTGCTGTATCCAGTCAAATTTATGAGTTGGAATTTTGTTCCTTCTATCGAAGCGGTCCACCCTACGCACTTACTTTCGGTTTGAGTAGGCCCGACATCTTTTTCATAGCCGTTGAATATATGCTCGTAGATAAGTTGATTTGAAATAAGAAAGTCACGGTACTCATCGTGGATCTCTCCAAAATCAGCTGAAACTCCAATATGATATATGCTAATTATAGGAAGTATAGCCAAACTTCTGTAAACTTCCTTGGGTAGCCTTGCTTACCGCTTACAACAAGGGATACAAACAAGATGGGCATCAGAGCTTTCAAATGCATGCCTCAGGTGAATCAATGAAGCTTTGCTGCCGTTCCATACTCAACCTCATACTACACCTCAATTTCCATTAGCTTAGCAAACAAGGATACCCGAGACTAAAAAACGAACCAACTGGAATTGGTTTCTAATTACTGCAGTGACTANTTGCTATAAATCCAGAACATGCAGGTTTGAGTGTCGAAGGGGAACTTTTCCAACTGAAAGTGTATACGTGTGACTGACTGACTAATTGCTTACTGTTTTGAGAAAAAGGTGAGAAAGACTTATTTACCTTCAGTGTACAAGGCTGCCTTACAACGAGATTCCAAAAAGTCGACACCAAG